GATGAAACCCAAAGTCTTGCACTGAGCTACATCCCCAGTTCTTTTTATTTTTCTACTTTGAGACAGGGTATCGTTACGGGTATCACTAAGTAACCCAGATCTTCCCGCCTCAGCCTCCTGAGTAGCCTGGATGACAGGCGTGTGCCACCACTCCTGGCTTCCAATGGTATTTTGGAGGGGTAAAACCCACAGGCTTGATTTGGTATTGGAAGTGAAGGAGAAAGAGAGAAGTCAGGACGACACCATACTGGTGGGGAGACTGGCAGGGGTAGGGGGAGATGATGAGTTAGGTTTAAGTGTGGTGAGCGTGAGGCACCTCCCAGAGGCAGGCACTAGTGCTCTGAAGACGAGCAGGGATATGTTCCTTCAGTATCCTCCAGCAATGATGTGCGCCAGGGAGGGGCGCACAAAAGGATCAGGAAGGGATGCTGTAGAACTTTCTGGGAGCAGGAGGTTTGAGCAGGTATGCAAATCAGAATGAAAATATTAAACATGCAAAACTGTCCTGCCTGACCCAGCGGGATCTCCTAGAGGTTGGAATACCAGCCTTGCAAACACCATGTTTACCTGCAGTCCAGGAGGATCTGAGTTGCAAAACATCCTGTAGATTAGGGGCTCTCTAGACCCAGCACCTGTCAGCCCCCCTGGCATCAGCAGCAGTTGAGTCAGCAAAGGCTTTTCTCCCTGACACCAAGGACCCTTACCTTTAAAGGCAAAAGAGCCTTTTCCGGCCTCAGGCTGGCCTTACTCACTCCTGCCTCCGGAGCCGCTAGGACCCGCCCTACAGAGCACTGCCCCACCCCTCGGCCCCAGGGGCCCAACTGCGTGCTCTCAGACACGCACCAGGCGCCCGCTGGAGCATGTGCACCTGGCACCTCCCGACCAGTCCCCCAGTCCCAGGGACCTCTTTTTCTCCAGACTGGCTGGGGCTGGAACTTCTTGGAATCAACCCAGAAAAGCTCTAGTTCCTGCCAGGACTGAAGTCAGCCTCCAGAGAACAAAGCTGCCAGTGTGGGCACAGACTGGAAAGGGGACATTAGGTGTGTCCAGGCTGAACACTGGGGCTCCACCGCCTCCTCATCTCTCTCTAAAGCTTCAAGTAGGTGAGGTTGTGGGGAGGCTGGGATTTCCTTAGGTCCTTTATCTGCTTCAAAACTCCTGATGTTCCCCACTGCCCACTGAATAAAACTGACTCCTATGCCAGGCTTTTGGGAGCCTTGTGATCCCATCTCTTCAACCTTGTCACTCCTCTTTACCTTCACCTCCTCTCCCTCCCAAGCCCCTCCCAGCTAGCTGCACCAGAAAGGCTAGCTAGCCACTCTGGTTTAAACCACTCTTCCAGGCCGATGCCCCTCTCCCAGATGAAATACTAATGCCTCGGGCCTTCTCTGGTGCGCCCTCCCTAGACCGAGTTACATTCTGTTTCCCCAGACTCAGGTGGCCAGAGGAGCCACAGCCTTACTAACCAGAACCTAACTTCTGACCCAGGGTCTATTGCTCAGGGTGAACTGACTTCTCACGGTAGCCTCTAGGGGCCATAAAACCCCCAGAGAGAGAGGACACAGAGAAGTGGAATTTCAAGCAGGTAATGGGGGGGGGGTGTCTGTGTTTGGGCAGGTATGGTGGGTGAGAAAAAGGTAAAACGGTTTTTCTGGCTACTCTGCCTTGTCCTCAAGTGGCACCCTGACCATGGGGATGGGGATTTGACTGAACTGTTGACATCAAGAATTAGCACAGTACAGTTCTGTGGATAAATCTTTATGCATATCCACCCACCCTCCCTCAGGCTGACCCAAGAGGGGACTGTTGTGCGTACTTTATAGACATGGGTCTTGGGGCTCAGAGAAGAGAAGGAGCATGCTCAGGGATATTTGGCAAAAACTAAAACAAAAAAACCAGCAGAGCTGGGACTCCAAAGTCTGAGTGCAGGCCTCCACCATCAATCTCTGGATGCAGTCCATAGTCTCTGTCCCTTCGCCCATGATGATGGTCTGCTGCTTTTGCACCTGCTCTTCCCTCTGCCAAGAATGGCTTTCTCTCCCATCTACTTAGTGAATTCATATTCAGCCTTCCAAACCCTGCTCAGCACGACCTCCCCCTCCCTTGATGGGCTCTCAACTCCCGCTCCCCCTGTGGTACAAGCTCTGCTCTTATACATACTTATCCTGTACACTCGACTTGCTATTGCTGCTACTCATCCTCCCTCTTGTGTCCCCTCCAGTTTGGGGGCTCCAGGAAGCTAGTGTCGGGCTCTCATCCCTCTGTCCCTGGGAAAGGGGCCAGCACAGTGCCAGCAACTGGGAGGCAGCATATCCAGAGGGCTGGCTGTGTGAGGAAATGGGAGCCAGAGAAAGGCATTGAACAGGGAGGTAGCAAAACCCAAAAGTTACTGAAGGAAAGTCTGTATTAGCCACATTGGAAAGTAGAGACGGACAGACCAGCTGTTCACAGGTCCCTTCACTTGCTCCTTCCTCTACTCTTTCACCCTATTCTTGAGGTGCTCACAATCTGGGGTGGGGAGACAGATGACAGCAGCTGAGAAATACCAAAGGATGAAGGACAGAAAGACCCCCACTTGGGAAACCAGAGGCTCTTCCTGGTGGAGGACCCATTTTTTGGACACTTCTTGGCACGCTGAGTAGAGAAAGGGCTTCCGAGGCAGAGACAACCGCAGCAAAGGTGTGGGGCTAATGTGTGGGGTGGGGCTGAGCTTGTAATCTGGTGCCCTGAAGAAGGGCATCCACAGCCAGGCTTGGGGATCCCTCTCTCCATGACAGTGTCAGATGCATGAGCAGGATCATTACAGGATCCAGGACTGGAGGAGGGAGGGAAGAGAATATAAAGGTCCTGAAGACAATAGGGGAGAAAAGGAGGATGAGGTGGGAGTAGGAGCCAGTAAGACTCTGGTACCCTGATGAGGACAGAGGTGGAAGGTGGCCCAAACTCTCCAGGCTTAGCATCCAGAAGCTGGAGCCACAGGTAGGGTGGGGTGTGCCCAGAAAAAGACAGCTTTCCATTCTAGGGCTCCATGCCCAAACTGGATGCCCCTTGGTCAACACTGGGCATACTACTCAGGAATGCCAGGAGTCATCTTAGGCTTTCTGTTTCTAAAAGAAACCCGACCATGGTCCCCTCTGCCAAGAAAGGGAGCTAACACAGGACCTAACACTAGTCCTAACCTAGGATGGTGGCCAGACCTTGAGGCTGTCTCAAAGGTATGGGTCTAGAAGAGGAAACATGGTGAAATCAGATGACGATACCAGCACCACCACCAGTAAACATGCACATGCTGAGCATGTCACCAGCACACCTGAAAACACTCACCACCACTCATGGATTGTGTTATGAATTACCAGTTACCCCTGGGAAAGCCACGACCTGCAGACCAGGGGCTCGAGCCCGGGATCCTGCTACAGAGGATTTGCAGATGAGCTGCTTCAATGCCTAAGTCTCCCGTGCCCTTATCCATTCAGTCACCCTGCCTCCTCTCATGCTCTTCACACTTGGGTGTTACCATAGATGCACCTGGACTCTCAGAAGACGAGGCGATCTTAAAGCAGGCAGAGGTGCCAACCGGTACAAAAGCTTGGGGACAGGAAATGTGGAGGAGGAACGAGGAAGGCAAAGGGAGGGCTCAAACAGGGAGCAAGACCTGTATAGTCTTGCTAATAAAGAATTAAAAGGCACTTTCCACGTAGTAGAACGACGCGGTTCAAAATGCTTTACAAATATTAATTCACTTAATCTTCACAACAATCCTAGGAGATGGTACTATTATTATTCCTAATTCACCTTAAGTTACCCCGGGACACAGTGAGGAATCCGGAGTGCTAGCTCTGAAGCGCTACGCTGGGCGGCTCCCAGCTTGCCTTACAGCCGGGTACCAGCTCCTCCATTTTACCAGAGGCTGCTAAGCTCAGAGAGGTGAGCGCACTTGCCCAGGGTCACACAGCGAGCGCCCTCACGGGTCGCGGCGCACCAGAAGCAGAGGGGATCCGCAAGCAGAACTAGGAGGCAGCCAGAAGCCCTCCGCCCCTCCCCTGCCCTTCGCCCCCCTCCCCGCGGAGCCCCGCCCCGGACGTGCTAGGCCCAGGCCCCGCCCACACGCCCCTCCCTCCTGACACACCAACTGGCCAACCAATGGATGGGGTCCTATAAACGCTCCGCCAGCGCGCTCTCGGCAGTCAGGAGGCTGGAGGTGTCGCGTGCGAGCGAGCGAGTGGGTCGTGAGCCGAGGGTCCCGAAGTGAGTGCAGCAGCGCGCCGTTGGGCAGCAGACAGGAAGAGTCAGAGTCGCAGTCGGAGTCCGAGGACCAGAGCGGAACCTCACCCGAGAGCGCCGCCCGTTCGGCTCGTCGCCGCCCGCGCACCCGGCGCTGCTAGAGCCACCAGTGCAGAGCGGCCATGGAGCCCAGCAGCAAGGTGAGTCGTACGCCGCTGGCCCTCCCCTCCCGGAACAAAGGCGGGACCCCCGCGGACCGCTCAGCCGACCCGGGGCGCCCCGCCGCCCCGCCACGCTGTGCGCCCGTCGTGCGCGGCGCACCTCGGAGCCTGGCTCGGCGCGAGGCCCGGGCGCAGCGGGGCCGGGGCTCGGATCGAGGGGACGCCCGGGCGCCGCGTGCGCACTGGGCTCCCGCACCGCGTACCGGCTTCCTTCCGGGGCCGCGGTGCATCCACGCGGCCCGGTGGGGCCCGGGAACTCGGGGCCCGGCGCCGCACGTCGCGCACGACCTCGGTAGCGGCAGCCCTGCGTCGGCTCCTCCCGGAGCGGGGGAGGGAGCCTGAGCGCGGCGCCTATTGGTTGAGCGGGCCGAGCCCCCGGTCGGGCCCGGGCGCTGGCAGGAGCCTCGGAGGCTGGACTCGCCCGCGCTCCGCGCGGGAACCGGGCCCCTCTGCCCTCGTCCCCTCACGGCTGCAGATTCGCTGCCCGGCCCGAGGCGCATCCCCGGCTCTCGCGGTGCTGCGGCGGAGGGAGCTTCTATCAGGCCGGGCTGGAGCTCGGGGGCGCCTGGTCCCGGGATGGAGGCGAACGGCCGGTCTCCGAGCTTCTTCTCTCAGGGTAGCACGGACCCCAAGCTTTTGCCAGGTCCTGTGGAGATGTGCCCCGAGGAGGCGCTCTTGGTACGCGCGGGGCAGTACCGGGGCGGGGTTAGCGGGGAGGTTTGAGGGCGCCGCCACGAATCGGGGCTGGAAAGGGGACCCTGTCCTCCGAAGGACGAGGTCTCTTTATTAGAAGCGATCGACTCCCTAGACAAGATCTCTTTCTGGGAACTGGCTTGTCCTCCAGGGGCTCTACGTGAGTCTGCCCCCAGAGGTTCTTTTCAACAAGCCGTCTTTTGAGCCCCTCTGTGGGTAGGGTATTGTTTCCTTTCTCCCTGCCTCCTTTGCTGTTGTCTAGAATATTTACAGGTCACATTTTTCTTTTAAAACTTTTCTTTCTGTTTTTTGAGACAGGCTTTCCCTATGTAGTTTGGTCTGGGCTTGGATTCGCTGTATAGCCCAAGGCTATCCTCAAACTGGGGCGATCCTCCCGCCTTAGCTGGGATTACAGGCGGGTGCCACCATGTCCGGTTTAAAACATTTCTCATCTACTTGGATTTTCCCTCCTGCTCTGTTAGGAACACACAAGACTGTACCCTTTTTACACCTGGGACGAAAAGGCACCGACCATATCCGGAACTGCCCTTCCTGTGGGCTGTGGAGGTGTCCGGTGAGACTGAGCTAGAAAACAATCAGGCAGCGCTCAGCAGGATCAGGCCTCCCCTTACCTGTCCAAGCCAGACAATTTGCTTCGTCCTGCCTTAGCACTGAGGTTTGAGTGGAGACTTGGAGGAAGTTACCCAGGGCGCTGTGGCTGCACCACAGAGATGGGGAAAATGAAATAAAATGCAAGAGAAACGATTTTAGCTAATGACAAAGGTGAAGACCCTGGAAGTCCAAATACTTGCTCTTTTCCCAGAGCTTGCCTGGGCCACTTAATTTATTTGGGCCTCCATTTCTTCACATGCAAGGTATGGATAACTCTTTATACTTCCTCAAAGGAAGAAAACCTGACACCAGACCTAGGTATATTTGTTGGGTAGATACGTAAACATTCTGAGCGTGTAAGAAGAATGGAAGAGAAAATCAACAGCCACTTAGAGTTTACAGAGATGCTTTTGAAAATGCTTTTCACTGTTACCAGATAGCCGTGCTGTACTTTCTTATCTGCCTGGAGCTTATAGAAGAGCAGTAACTTTCCTAAAGTTGCACAGCTACTAAGTGGCTGAGTGGATGTGAATCCTGGCCAATGAGAAGGGACTTTCACTTCTGTCTCCACTGTTCTTTTTGCCAGCATTTCTTGAATTTTGTGCAGAATTTTGTTTGCCTTCAAGTGCAGGCTTTGTGCCATCTAGTCTGATCTAAATGCTGCAGCAGTGGGTGCTTTTCATATAATGCTCTCCAAACCACACTGTGCAGTCTATCAGAAAATCATTTTGAAGCTCCCGCCTTCCCAGTGGCTTATCCATATTTATAAATTCATGTACATGTACTGTTACATTAGTAAATGAGTGGAAATCTCAAAAGACAAGGACAAAGATAGCAGTTACACTAAACATTTTTTCACTAATTTCTCTGTGATCATCTTGTATACATTCCGGAAAACAGCCCTTGCCAGTTTTATCAGTGCCACAACCTTTTTTGTGCCCAATGTTAAACTCAGGCCGCAAGAGGTATATCGTGTGTGGGGTGTGTCTAGCTCATATGCTTTGGTTCTGCTCTGTTCCTCTTCTTGGAACTGGGGATTGACTCTGCCAACTTCCTGTGTTCCACTGTACTCCTCTGTGGCTCATAGTAATGAGTTTAACAAGTAGGAAATAGGGAGGGAACAGATGGAATCACCTGGCTAGCCAGGGCTTCACCCACGATCTCTTCTGGGGAGCAGGCAGGGATGAGCCCTGCCCCATATATGTCCCTCACCCTTTGTGAATAACTTATGGCTAATCACCCCTGTACTCCCTACTTTACTGACCACTCTCTGCCCCCTAGACAAAGTAGACATCAGAAATCAACAGGGCTCCTCAGCCTCTTAACAGTGCAGAGTATAGGTATTTGCTTGAGTTCTTGCAGATGTGGTTTTGAATCCCAGTTTAGCTTCATTACCTCATCTACAGAATGAAGACATTTTTTATCATTAGAATGTTTGTAAGAATTCAGAGGAAAAGTCATGGGTATCTGTCCCCATAGGTACTTCATGAATGTTCCTTGTTTCCTTGGACTCCCATCATGCATTGTGCTTGCCTAGGCCTGAGGGACCTGTATGTAGGCTTCAGCTTCTGTTTAGAAGTCTGACATTTGGGCATTGTGAACTTTGGGGGGTCATGATACCCAGTTTGTGAATATTGCTTAGATAAATCACTGAAGCTCCCACTGGCCATTTCTTCGCATTAGGGGCTTATAGGAGGCTGATTTGCTGAGATGGTACATGTGTGAGAGTGCCAGGCCCAAAGGCTGAGGTCATCTGGTGTGGTGGCCACTTAGGTTTCTTTCTTCCCACCCGTCTGCCTGAATTTGGGTCAGCTCTTGAATAGTTTGAAAGGGACTTCCATGGGCGTTTTCTTCCACAAGAAATAAGTCACAGTGACCACAAGGTCCACTGAGAAACCAAAAGTCACACATGCGCCTTCCACCCTAAACATGCCACTCTTTCCAGGATGATACTGGAGAATGGAAGAGAGTCAGAGCAAAAGACCATCCAGTTTGTAGCTTAGCCCTCCATTTGACAGATGAGGAAACTGAGGCCAGAAAACAGAAAAATGGTCCAAAATAGGCTGTCACAGAAGAGTTAAGATGTTTTATGGAGTTTTTAAAAAGGTGGTTTTTCTTCACACCCCTGTGCCCTGTGCCATCCTCTACCCACCCTACATGAACAGAAATTGTGCAGTAGGAGTCCTAACAGTTGGATTAGATATGCCTTGACTACTGAAACCTTTCTGTGAATGGAAACAAAATGACCTTGGAGAAGTGACTTGGTTTTCTCTGTAAAACGAAGGCTTCACTACCCCTGGTGGCTGTGGTGAATCTGGCCTTGTGCCCTGAGTCAAGATGGTGGCTATTTTCAGTTGGAAAGACCCCTTGGGTGGCTATTTTGGCAGTACAAACAGTGTAAACAGTTCCAAGATGATCCTTGTCCAGTCCGGAGCCATTCAGGGATTTGACCTGACTTGTCCCAGAGCTGGGTTAGCCCCAAATCCCCCATAATCAGCTTGTGACTTCAGGGAACTTAGCTTTGCCCAGTGCCTCCTGGTCACAGGGTGTCGGGACTCCAGCATCAAGGGTACAGATGTCTAGCTTCCCCCTCCCTGCCAGACTAGCAGTGCTGGGGAGGCCTGGAACAAAGGAGAAAGTGTGTGGCACTGGCTTGGGGCCTGCCACCTCACTCCTGCCCTCACCTCACTTCTAGAGGTGACAAAGCCCACTCAGTCTGGTAACCTGTGTCCCCAGGATGGCAGGTCAGCAAGGCTCCTGGCTGGACTCATGGGCTCAGAGAGGCTGTTTCCAAGCTGGCAGGCCCAGCCCTGGCTACCAAAACAAACCTCCAATTGTTACTTTCCTCCGAGGGAGGGGTGGAATGGAGCCGGAGGCTCTGTCATCCAGCCACCAGGCCTGGCAGTAGCTAATGCATAAACATTGGAGTTTTGTAGTAACCGAGCCAGAGACTCCCAGGCCTCAAACATGGGTAGGGAAAAGGTAGGACTCACCTCAGGGTGACTTTTGTCTCCTCAGGGCTTGTGTACCCTGAAAGGGAGACAGCTCTTGCTACCCCTCAGCTGATGGACCTTTGGGTACCAAGGCCTCTGCTGGACGGAACATCTGCCTGAATTGCTTAGGCCAGAGCTTGTCTCTTCCTGCCCTAGAGTTTGGGAGTGGGTGGGAAAGGGCCAGTGTCAGAAACAGCACTCCCACAGGACACATCTTAGGGGAGCTGTGTCCTCAGCAGTAATTGAGATTGACACCCACCCACCTCTCTGGGTCAGCAGCTGTGAAACTTACCTAGGAGTGCAGGGCCTGTGCAGCAGACTTGGAGCACAAGTCCATTACTACAGGCCCAGATGGGTCAGATGGCTGGCAGCAAGGCCCTCTGCTGGAGAAAGAAGGGGAACTGTCTTGGGATGGGCAGCCCTGCTAGAGGAAAGAAAGAGAGCCTCTCTGCATTGCTCCGTAGCATGAAGTGGCCCTCACAGCTGTGCCAAAGTTCCCATCCAGGGCCCTGGCCCCTGGTGCCCACGCTGCTCTGGGCTCGCCTTGCCTCCCTCCCCCAGCTGGAGGTACTGCCTGTGACATGGCCCCATTTGCCACATAGCTGGAGCTGATCAGGAAGCCCATCATCTATCCCAGTGGTCTTGGCTCAGGTCATTGCCCTCTATGACATGGTAATAGCAGTCCTCAGTGCCAGTGCCCTACATAGTGATGCCAACCTCTACAAGAGTTTCCTGCAGCCAGGCACTGGCCTGAGGGTGGGCTTCAGTGGCCCTGCAGCGAGCTTTGCCATTAGCATTTTGGGCAGCATTTGGGTCAGGGCATGGCCAAGCAGCCCTGGCTGTGGGCATGGTCACAGTCCTCACCCTTGCAGAAGTGCTCAGCCTCTGAGGTCCCAGTGTCACCTTCATCATTTTCACCAGCCGTAGAGTGTGATGTGAAAACCACCCCCTCCTCATTCTTAAACAGTCTGCATGGCACACATGCACAGGTAGCTGATGATCCTGGAAGTTCACAGTGTCCTAGTCCCATGGTCTGTTGACCATGTTCTTTTCCCCATCTATCCCATGCTAGGGAGCAGGATCCACCTCTCAGCCATCAGACCCCTGACCAATGAGGATGCCTCACTCACCCAGAGTTCTCCATGCATAAGGATGAATTAGAGTGGGTTTTCTCTCCACTAGATTTTTCTCTATGAGTTGACCTGTTAATACATCTGTGGAGTGACTCTTGTCTCCTAGTGACAGAAAACTTTTAGAGTGCTACACTGCAGGATTACATTCGCTGTGAGACTTGGAAGGCAGTGTGCTGGGCCTGCCAGGCTTTGGCACTGGAGCTGTGTCCATTAAAGTTCTCAGATGTGACTGGAAAAAAAAAATACTGAATTTTCCTTCTTTTAAATATAGGAGTAATGGAGCCAACTAAAGAGAAACAACAAAGTGAAAGGATAAACATCTTTTTTGTATCAGTTGTCACTGTGAGATATTTACCCTTTTTTGTGCACATGTAGATGCATGCCGGTAAATGTGATGTTTGTGCAATTGGTTCGCATTTCTTATGTTTTGCTCCGTGTGGCCCATTCTGCTCACCAGCCCAAGCCTTAGAGGTAAATACATTGTTTTTTCTCTGCAAACACATCAGGTGTCATTGTACAAGTTCAGTAACCTTTCTTCCTTAAGTAAAAGGTACCTTCTGTATACATTATACTTGGATTTTATTTTAAACAATCTTCCCTGGAACACTTTTCATGTCAAGTACATACAGATGTGTTGCATTCTTTCCAACAGCTGCGTAATATTCCATTACAGACATGTCTCACCACGGTTAAGAAACAGCACCCTCACACTTTCTGTATACCACTCACCACCTGATTTATGGCATGTATTTATTTTCTCTCTCTTTTTTTTTTTTTTTTGGTACCAGGGATCGAACTCAGGACCCTGCACTTGCAAGGCAGGCGGCAGAACCACTGAGCCAAACCCCTGGCCCTTATGTATTTATTTTCTTCCCTAGCCCTTGACTAGAATAATCAACTTCCACAGGCAGGAACTAGTTTAGTTTTTGCTGAGTCCCCGTGTACTAGGATAGTGTTGGGAGTATGCATTTAAGCACAATCTTTACTTTAGTAATTTATTCTTAGAAACCCCTGCCCCCCCCCTTTTTTTCTTTCAGTGGTGGGGATTGAACTGAGGGCCTCTACACTAAGCTACATCTCTAACCTTTAAAAGTTTTTTATTTTCTGCTGAGTTACCCAGGCTGGGCTCAAACTTGTCATCCTCCTGCCCCAGCCGCCCAGAGTGCTGGAATTACAGGCATGCACCACTATGCCCAGTTGAAAAACCTTCTGGAGAACTGAAGTTTTAAGGGAAAGGAATTTTTTAAGGTCACAGAAGTGGAGGAGCTGAGGCTTAAACTTGTTTGCTGAGAGTGACAGTAACCTTTGTATATGCCCAGACTTAGCAAATTCATTTTATCTTAGTTGAATTGATGCCCATCGAACCGCTGAATGCATACCCATACCAGCTTCTCCAGGGGCTAGTTCGTGAACCCAAGTGCCATGCACACAGCCCTAGGAGCCAGTTGTCTGCATTTAACACCCCATTATAGGATATATTTTTCAGGTATTTAGAAGCAATGATATATTTTTGCCTTGAAAGGCTTTAGAAATCTTTTCCAATTCATACATTGGGTTTCCATGTAGCAAACAGCTTAGGGAACCTGGGATTTAAATCGGTGGTTGACAGACTTTCTGTAAAGGGCCTGATAGTTAATATTGTCAGCTTTGTGGGCCTTGGGGTCTCTGCTTCAGCCACTTAGATGTGCTGCTGTAGTGGGAAAGCAGCCACAAATAATAAACACATTCAATGAGTGTGGCCAGTAAAGCTTATTAATGGTCATGGCAACTTGAGTTTGATTCAGTTTTCATATATCATCTCCCCCCACACACACACCCCCTCGTCACTTAGAAATGTAAAGCGTGTCCTTAACTGCAGGCCATATGTGGCTCAGGGGGCCATAGTTACTCATCCTTGACTTAAAGCAAAATCCAGCCAAGCAGCCAAAAGGTTCCTGAACTTGAGCTTGGGCCGTCCCAGATGGGAATGGTCAAGGCTTAGAGAATTACTGGAATGGAAATTGGCCTACCCGGAAAGAACCAGGTAAACACCTTGTTCCCTTCAGGGACCATTACCAGTAAGCAGGGGGAGGGCCTGAGCAGAAAGAACATAAAATTGAAGCTTCTCCGAGGCCCAGGACCCTCTGATTGTGTGCTTTTTCTTCTCTGAGCCTCCCGTTTCTCCTCTGTGAAGTGGGAGCAATCTGTCCCTGGAGTGGAGCATATTCACGGTGGTTAAATCAGGACGTCCACCGAGCCCCTGGCAGGATGCCCGGTGACTCGCTGGTGCTGCCGATAAGCGCCCCAGCTCTGTCCTCTCCTCTCTGCTTCAGACATTGATGAGCACCTTCTGCTTCCAGGGCCACCATGGGGTGTAGGGTGGTTCAGTCATGCAGGCGTCTTGTCATCACTAGGAGGCTGGAAGAAAATGACTTCAGGAAGAATCAGTTCTCGAGGTCACCCAGAGCCCAGGCTTCTGTGGCTAGCCCATCACCTTTGACAGGAGTCAGCAGGATAAAAGGAGTCAGGGGCAAAACTCCAGGAAGGAGTCCAAAGAACTCAGTGCTAGCCCTGGCTTTTGTTTGCTGAGTATCCTCAGCACCTGGGCTCCTGGTATATTAAATGAGGGTGTTAACAATCTGCACCTTCTTGGGCTGCTTTCTTTTTTAATGCCTAGAACTTTGTTCCTATGAAATCTTAGAAAGGAAATGTTGCCCAAAATAAATAAAAAGAGATGTCATGGATCAGGTGAACCCCTGCCATACCTCTCCCTGCCCTCCTTAGACCTATAGACTAAGTGCTTAGCCTGCGCTTCATGCTCCAGGCCACCTCTGAACATCATGCCAGAAGCCGTGAGAGGAGGATGAGGTGGAGTGATGTCTGGAGTCTGCCAGCTCAGGATCCTTCTACCACGGGCCATGCCCTGACTCTGAGGGCGGTGCCAGGTGCCCTCCCTCTGCCAGTATTGACTGAGAGCCTGCTGCGAGGCAAGCCCAAGGCCCCAGTGATGCTGAGGAAGGGCACACAGGCAGGGGTCAAAAGGTCAAATGTTTGGCAAGTCATGTACACAGGGTGGCTATCATCCCAGCGTGTGGGAACCAACACATCGTCAATGGCTTGGGGTGAGGGCACTCAGTGGGCCTCAGATCCCCAGGACTCTCAGAATTGGCATGAAAAGGGCATGGAGTGGGGACATGAGGCATCCTCCTGTATGCTGGAGCCTGACTGAGCCCAGGGCTTTGCTGAGCTGAGAAGCCTGTGGCACTCCTAAGAGAGTTGGGATTTGAACTTGATCTGACTGACTTCAAAGGTCTCCCAACTGCAGCCCTGTGGGCATGAAGTGGAGGGTTGGGGGAGTGCATTACCCTGTTCCCACTTCTCAGAGTTCTGACAGTCCTGCACTCACTAGGGGTTTGACGAATAGCTGAGTTAGGATGAGCACTCTGGGAAAACCAGAGTTTTGCCTAAATCCATAAGTTTAGTGGGATTTAAAAAAAAAATTTTTTTTTAGGACAGGGTCTCAGTATGTAGTTCAGGCTGGCCTTGAACTCACTATGTAGCCCAGGCTGGCCTCAAACTCAACAGCAATCCTGCCTCAGCCTTCTGAATGCCAGGCTCGCAGGCGTGTGCCATAACACCCAGCTTTTCTGGTTTCTTTTGGTTTCTTTTGTTTTTTTAACAATTGTTCAGTGCTAATGCCTACCTGGGCACTCTAGTTGCAGAGATGAAAAAACCCAGCTTCTATTTTTAGGAGTTCCCAGAGTGGAAACTACAGAGGACACAGCAGGTGCCAAGGCCTAGAAAAGCATGGAGTGCTATGGAAGGTCACCCCATCCCTGGAGAGCAGTGATAAACCACTGAGAGTCCCAGACTCTGGATTCTGCATTGTTCCCCACCACCACTTTCTCTGAGTCATCAGCGGTACATCAGCTGGCCACTTAAGTAAACACAGGTTGAGTAGATGGACTTACTCACTGTGCTTCATTTGCAGCCACAGGCAAACTGGCAGATGAGCTCTGGTGGCCTTTGGCAAGCACTTGTCAAGGAAGCTCTTCTCTGCTCCCTGATACAGAATTTGACAGCGACTCTAAGGAGGAAACATTAGCCCCATTTCCTAGGTGAAGAAACTGAGGCCTAGCGGCAGGGCTAGCAGGCTTCCAATTCCAAGGTGAAAGGTAGCACTCACTGCATTTCAGCCAGAGTTTTGATGCCAAGCCCAGCAGTGATCAAGCTGGTGTAGTGAGTGCAGGAGATGGGAATAGGAACATATCACTGGTCTCAGTGCTGTGTGCCTACAAAGGGTCCGGGGCCCTGCTCCTCTGAGACAGCTCACACTGAGCCTCATGAGCACTCTGTTTCTTAGCCTGATGATATCAGACCCTGTTTCTTTCCCTTGCACGTACTGTTCCATCTACCTGGAATGCAGTCTTGTCACTGCTTTTCCACTTGGCAGGCTCCCTGCTTGCTCTTCACAGTCCAAATCCAATGTCACCTCCTGGGAACTCATCTTTGATTGTCCCCAGGCAACATTAAAAATCTTTCTGGGGCACCCTCAGTTCCTCATACCACCCCTTTTGAAGCCCAGACCACGCTATCTTCATGTTGTCTTTGAGTGCCTCACCTCTGGGCCTCCACGGGTCCCCCACTGGACTGCCAGCCCTTTCCATGATGGCAGGACTTGGAGCTGTTCGATCCAGCATGAGGTCTGGAAAACGGGTCACTGAGAATTTTAGTGAGTTCTAATGCAGCAGCCTACCTGGGTGGATGTGGATATAACCCAGGGTATCTATCGTAGGCAAGTTTCTAAAGTGAAATTTGTCTTTGGCCTGCCAGTGGCAAAGTTCTGCAGAAGGGCTTATTCTTGGCTCTCAGCAGCCCCTGCTACCAGGTGAATAGCTGCTTAATAGGGCCCCAAGAACGGCTTCAGAGGTTCAAGAACCTCTGGAACATCAGAGCCAGACTTTTAAAACAAGGCCTGTAGTATTGGAATGGGCCTCACATAGCCTCTGCTGCAGCATCATTCACTGAGCTGCACTAGCGTAATTTTTCATTAAGCATTTTTACTTAAATTGCTTTGTTCTAAGTAATGTGAAGCCACAGGCCTTGTACTTTGAATAGTTGATCCATTCACATGGTTCAGAATTCAGAAATGTGCCAAAGGGTATAAAATGAAGTTTCCCTTCTATCCCCTCCATAGCCACCCAGGTCCTCTAAGTACAGTACATCATTACTTTTCATGTGCATTCTTTTCATGTGCGTGCATCTCCCCCAGCCGTATCAATTTTGGTTTTTTACACAAAAGGTAGTATAAAATACACAAATCTGAAACTTGCTTCTTAAAGCTAACTTGGAGAGTGTCACAGATTAATACATGAAGAGCTTTATTTTTATATATTTCATTACATAGCTATTATACCACATCTCATTAAATCATAAGTTTGCATTGCTAGTTTTTATCTCCATTCTAACATGTACCAGGAAAATATATGTCTTGCACACCATAAGTATCACACCGTGGATAACTCTGAACTCGTGCATGCAACTCCTGGGACAACCAGCATGTGGCAGGGCCATCTGTCACTGCCCAGCCCACATGCTCGTGCTGAGTGCTGTACCACAGACTCTTCAGTTACCAGTGGTCATCTATGACACTCTGGCTGGTCCTCTGCTTGGCCGGGGACCACCAGATGTTTGTCACCTACTCACTGGCCACTCACTGTACGGCTTCTGGGTCTGTGGCTCCCAAAGAATTGAGAGAAGGGAGACTCTGGGGGACCTTTTGAGTTGAGCTGTGAAAGACAGGACTTAAAGGGACTGCCATGCACTGTGGCAGGAGAAAAATCCTTGCATGTAAGATGAGCATCCAGGGGTTGTCCACAGAGGGGCAAGCAGACAGACAGGCTCATTGTGATGTAGAGTGGGCTCTGAGCTGTACCCTCAGGCCTGGCGAAGCCTTTTTCCTTTCTCGGCCTCTGACATGAAAACCCTGGCTTTTGCAATCCTTGCCTTGTGGGCTTCTAGAGACTGAACAAGTTCTGATTAACAGCTACACCCAGTGATCTTAAAATCAGGGCTGCTTCTGGGTTCTTTGGGGAAACAGAGGCGCGGAGACCCAGAGCAAGCCTGCGGCTGACCTGAGACTGTATTCCGGTCTCCTATCCTCCTCCAGACTGTCCTGTGATTCAGGCTGCTGAGCCTCCACCCTCGCCTGCAGTGCCCAGCTCAGTGCTCTGCAGAGTGACCCCACCCATTTCTCTGGCATGCCTCCCCAGGCGCCATACTCCTATAGCCAATTAGGGGCCTGCCACATAATCACATTTCATGGCTGCTTCATTTTAAAAGTCATAAAGTCTCTACCTTTCTCTAGCCAGGTGGACAGCTGGCTGGCCTTTCACCTGTATGTAAGCAGGGCCTTTCACCTGCTGGCCTCTTCTCTTCCTGTTGCCTCATGCCTTAGGCTGCCAGGGGACAGAACCTTACCACCCTTTGTCCATTAGAAACATTTTGACCCAACACTTGAACTCACCTTGTATCATGTTCTTTTCCAAAGCACTCTTCTAGCTGGTGTTTCGTCTGTGTCCAGATAACTCTGGGAAACTTGTAGTTTGGGGGCCATTGCTGTGAGGAGCACTGAATGGGAAGTCCAGAGCTGTGGCTTTGCTGGAGACCCCTGAGTGATCTGGGACTTGTCTCTTCCTCTCAGCTCAGTTTTCCTGCCCTGGGAATGGTGGGAAGTGGAGAGCAGGCAGGAATATGTCTCCAAAGCTGACTGTGCCCATTTTGTAGATAAGCAAACAGAGGGTGGGGAAAGTAGTAGGGTGGGGAAAGTAGTGGGGTGGGGTTCACAGAGCAAGTAGGGAGATGGGCTGGAATCAGAGGTCAATACCTTTGGCTCCAAATCCAGAACACCTCCCCCCCCACCTGTGCTGTCTGTTCCTTTCTTATAATTTGGCCCCCTTGCATGGCAGGCTTGATTTCTGGGTCTCCTAATGAGAGTCTGGAGCCCAAGTATGGCCCTACCAGGGGAATGAGACCCCAGAGAATCAAAGGCCTCCCTCTCTAGTCAGAGGGAGAAGATCATGACTGTCTTCTCTCACCAGGAAAAGGTCTAGATGTCAGCTGGGCCAGTTTGGGCACCTGAGGTCAGGAAATGGCAGAGTTTCCCTGGAGGAGAACAGGTGTCGAGCCAAGAGTCAGGCAAAACATCTGAACATGGGAACCTGCCAGCCTCAGCCCTGCTCTGTGATAACCTGGGCTCAAACATGCCTGTGACTGTGGTTTGTTTCTCTGCAGAAGGTGACAGGCCGCCTCATGCTGTCTGTGGGAGGGGCAGTGCTTGGATCTCTGCAGTTTGGCTACAACACTGGCGTCATCAATGCCCCCCAGAAGGTGAGTACCACGCCATCATGGCCTCCAGCTTGCTGTGCTGCACCACGGGTGTGCACTCACACACACACACACACCCCCACTGTTACCTGGGCCTCAGAATCATTGACATCAGCTTAACCGTCAGCCTCCCCAGCTGGCACTATAGAATCTCAGGGCCCACAGAATTCTGGGCTCCACTGAATCCTAGGACTTCAAGATCATCTTGTCCAACCTCCCACCCAACACAGACATTTATGATAATTAAAGCAACACTCAGTTTTATGTTGCTATACTGCAGTGGAATTCTATTCCTGGTTCTTATCTTGCTTGGCGCCCACTATAGACTCCAGGGTGGGCAGGCAGGTCAGCAGCAGCCATTCTTCCCTTTCTACAGGCCGGAGAATGGCTATAGATAGAAACCCGCCCAGCATTACCCAGGCAAGTCAGGCAGAGCTGGTACCCAACACCTCCCCATCGGGCCCTTGATGCTCATACCCGCTTCCACTCACAGCACTCCTCTGAGTAAGGCATCCAGTTCTGGGCTGAAACTGCATCCTCTCCCTGGAGGCCCAGTGCCAGTCCAAGCAGAAATGGCGTCTTACCCTAGGGAAACGCAGGGGTGGAGGTCTGACTTTCTCCCCACAGTGCATCCTAAGCCTGCCATCACTTGTTCCTTGGCATGTCAAGACTGGAAGGGAGGGACCCTGGCCATCCTCTCTAGCCCCACCTTTGCTTTAGGGAAGAGAGGAAAAGAAAGGATATAGGGGCAGAAAAGGAAATTGTAACAGGTCTCTTTGTACCAGGTGATTTTCATGTATGCATTTATAAAGTTGGGTAGTGGTTTCTACTTTATAGATCCAGAAATTGAGTGTGAGGCATCTGAGGCAATTGTTCAGCAGGCCCAAGGTCACATACTAGTGAATGGTGGATCAGAAGCCAAGTTCTTTTGTTTCCACAGCCTTAGGCTGTCTTCCTAAATAATTGCCCTGTCATTTAAAAACACCTTCACAGGAAGGATGAAATGAGAGTGGAGTCCTCCTGTCAGGACCAGGCTCACTGTCCAGACAGGTGGGGCTGGAAAGTGAGTGTGACTGGTCCGAGGACATGTTCCTGTCTGAGGAAGTGGGCAGTGTGCACAGACCCAGGGCTGGGCTTCTTCCAACTGGGCGGAGGGTGGCTGTGGTGGCCACGCCTGGTTCTGGGGAGCAGGTCACCAGGAACTCAGCTTGCTGCATCATGCTTGGCTGCAGTAGCACTGACAGGGACTTTTCCGAGTTTGCCTAACATGGCGACTGTGGGCCCATGCTTGGAACAGCCTCGAGCCCAGCTTCGATAAATGCTCTGAGCACCTCTTGGAGCTGGCTTCCTTTGGGAATCTGTATAGGATGGGGTGGGGTACAGATGAGGACGAAATAGGGAACCTGAGTCCTCCACCTTGGTGGCACGTTGAGATCCCCTGGACGCTCTCCAGATTCTGATTTAATTGATCTGGGATGAATATAAAGCTTCCTAACCGACTCTGATGTGCAGCCAAAGTTGAGAAATGCTGGATTAAGTGATGACGTCTTGACTGTGGTCACAGAGTAAGTGTGACTAGGACTGTCAAAAGCAGAATAGAGGAGGTGTGTTTCAAAAACAGAACAGGGTAGGGTGGGTAGGGGTCTGCAGAGGAGGCAGTAAAATGCCCAGAGGGAAGAGAGCCAGGCAATCTGTAAATGGTGACTAGTTTTCGATGTCTCTACATGGAGGAGAGGGAGAAATGGGGAGCCCAAAGCAAGCCGAAGTGGGACCATTGTGGGCCTTGTAGTTTGGGCTACAGAGTGTCAGCATGATGTGGTATAGTCAGAATGGCACTGGATGGTGGATTTCAGGACAGGACCTGGCAAGGACAAGCATCATATCTGCATCTTAGGAAGTGGATTCAGGTGTCTGGCCTAATGGGATGGATCTGAGAATGTGGGACTAGATTCAGGGACACTAGCGAGAAGGCTGCTGCTGCACTAACAGGATTAGAACAAAGCTTCAGATGGAATGGATGGGATTCAGTCACTAGTTCCAGGTGAGGATAAGAGAAGTTTCAAAAATGGCTTCTGAGCTTTTGATTTTGGAGATGAGGGTTCTCGAGGAGGAACAGCAGGGGAGGAGCTGGTAGATGTGGGATGTGCAGGACCTGGGGTTTAATGAGGCGCTGCTGGAGATGCACTGGAGGCACTCGTGCGTATGGGTCTGCTTCTTAGATCCAGGCTGGAGAGGAGCCGAGGGTCCATCACCGGTGTCCAAGGGGGTGTGGAACGAGATCTGGGGAGACTGGAATAAAGAGAGAACCAAGGCTCACATCCCTGAGATCAGCCCCACAGATAGGAGAGGACCCAGAGCCTCAGAGACAAGTTTTGCAAGACAAAGGAGAGAGATGATGTGGCCTTGTGGCAGGCACAGTGGTGTAGAAACCTCCCTGTCGTGGCTGAAGAGGGAGAGGGAAGTGGAAAGAGTAGAAGTGGAGCTGGGTGTAATGTTACACAGCAGTCGTCTCAGCTACTCGGTAGACTGAGGTGGGAGTATCACTTGAGAAACCAGCCTTGGGAACACACAGATCTAGTGGCATTTCCTGGCCAGGCACACAGGCAGTCTGTTTAATTTCGCACGTTCCAGGCCTGGCCGGGTGTTTCTAACCAAGAACAGATTATAAGTGATCAGTTTAACTTGGGAAGAGGGGGTAGCAGGCTGGAAGAATAAGAAACGCAAGTCGAGGTGATAGTGTAGTGACCACCATGCCTGGGTAGGCCCTTGAGTCATTGTCCCAGGAAGACATAATGATTCAGTTCTGGATGAAACTTTTTTTTTTTTTTTTAGTACAGGGGATCGAACTCAGGACCTTGTGCTTTCGTTGAGGCAGGTGCCAGAACCACTGAGCTAAATCCCCAGCCCAGTGATTCAGTTCTGTAGATACAGTCATTCCACAAGGACTTAGCACATGTCCACTGTGTGCCAGAGTCCACCCCAAATAGCCTGGTTGCGAGAGTATGGCAGTGAACCCTTCAGGGAGCTCCGTCATAGGTGATCTGACCTGACCCTGGCCCTCACCCCCACCCAGGACTCCCCATCCAGAAGGGGTGGGGGAGGCCCCTTGGAAAAGCCAGGCACAATTTCCCGTGGGTATCCATGAGGGATTGGTTTCAAGACCGACCCGCCCACCCCCCTACACACACACAGATACCAAAATATTCAGATGCTCAAGTCCCTTATAGTATGGCTTAGTATTTGTACATCACATACCACATCCCCCCCACATACTTGAAGTCATCTCTGGATTACATATAATACATGATACAATGGTAAACGTGACTGCCTTGTGGTACTGTTTGGGAGCTACCAACAAGGGAGAAAAAGGTTATTCATGTTCAGTACAGACACAGTTTTTATTTTCAAATATTTACGCTCCCCAGTTGGTTGAACCCACCGATAGGGAGGCCTTCCAGATGCTGGGAAAGCAACAGGAGGGAGTGACTGGCACTGGGCTGGGTGATGGGAAAGACAGGAAAGGCTTTGTGAAGGGTTTGGCAGCCAACTTAGGGTAAGTTGGCCTCACAGGGAAGGAGGGCTAGGTATCCAAGCAAAGGCAACGGCGTGTGCAAAGACGCAGTGGCATGAAGTACTCCCCAGCCTTGTATTGCTGACTGCCTGCACTGCCTGCACCAGCCTCCCTTGTCTGCGCCAAAGGACTTCTCTGAGGAAGCAGTGGTGTCTTGGCCATGCTTTCATGAAAACACTGCCCACTAATGGTGAGGAGGCCAGTCCTGCTGTTCATTACCAGAAGCTTGTTCTCTGCCATAAAACAGGCCCAAAAGGGCTTCCTTCTGGAAGTGTTAATTAATTAATCAAGATATTATCTTAAATGTTTACAAAGCACCTACCCTTAAATCACCTCTTCCCTGAAGCTCTGTGAGGCCTGCAGGCTGAGATAATCTTCCCTGCGTTTAGATGAGGGTACGAGGCTGGGTGAGGGTGGCTGGCGGGTGGGAGGCTGAGCTGGAGCTGGACTGCAGATCTCTTGCATCTCCCACCCTGAGCCTTGCCCCTGCCCCACACTGAGTAGTAATGACATCCCTGGGACATCTATACCACGCGGTCCCTCTCCCTAGCGGAGAGGGAGGAGGTGGAAGAGGCAAGCCCAGCCAGAGGGAGCAAATAATGCAAATGTCCTGGGCCCATCTGGGGACAGCCTCTCCCCTCCCCAGTGGCGGGTCACCGTGAGCCTAATCATTACCCAGGCACAGTGCCAGCACGTCTGAGAAATGAGGCAGCCTCAGAAGCCAGAGAGATGGGTCAGTGAGAGAGGGTCCTTGGTCCTTGGAGGAGGTGAGGTCTGTGGGGATGACCTAGAAGTGACAACCAAACTGGGCTGAAAGCAGGGCCCTCATTTCAGTCCAACCTTGCGTCCCTCAGGGGAGCTGAGCTCCAGGCTCCAGGCAGCCTCTCTATCTCTGTCAGGATCTAGAGTTTTGGGTCCCCTCTTTCTTTAACTATCACCACACACCCTTAGAGCTTACTAGCTCAGGCATTGTTGTAAGCACTTTAGAATTGGTAATCCAGTTGTTCCTCAAAATAACACCATTAAACACACACCATGATCCCTGTTTCGTAAGAAACTGGAGCGCGAGATGGTAAGCAACTAAACCGAGGATACGCAGCTAGTGAGTGGCAGAGCTGGAATTTGAACCCAGGAAGTCTGGCTCTAACCTGTGCCCTTGATCACTGTGGAGGATAGATGGTCAGAGGTGGGCACCTTAACACCCTTTCCCACATGGGAGTGCCGCCCAGCTGGTCCCTCGTGCTCGGAGTTCAGAAGTGAGTCAAGCCCAGTCATGCACAGGCGTCTCAACGGTTTCCCACACACAGTTGCACAATCTCTTTTACTATCACACCCTGTTAGAGCCGTCATTGCTTAAGCCCCTCGGTTAGGTTTGGCTTCTTCCTCAGTGAGTAATGACTCTTTCCAGTCCTGTGCTGGGCACTAGTGACACAGGTAACTCAGACCACCTCTGGGTTGAAGTCCAGTCTAGAGGGAGCACGGGTACCTTGTAGTTAGCCATCCGTGGGCAGTGATGGAAACGTGGACAGGCTCCATAGGAGTGAGGATATTCAGTCCATCTCGCAGGGCTGCTTAATCTCAGCTCTGTGGACGTTTTTACTGGATAATTCTTTAGCGTTGCTTCCTTGTGCACTGTACAGTGTTTAGCAGTATCCCTGGACTCTGCCCACTAGATACCAGGAGCCAGTGTGACAGCTGAGGATGTCTCTGGACATAGCAGGTGTCCCCTTAGGGGCAGAATTGGCCCAGTTGAGACCCACTGCAGTAGGGAAGGAAAGGTGGTTACAGGAAGGCTTTCCAGAGGAGTACCTGGGTGTTTGCTAATGATGTGTAAATGAAAGTGCAGGGGTGTGAGGGGCTCACTATGTCTGCCCAAACAAGGGCCTGTGAGTCATAGTGTAAGTGAGGAGGCCCTTCATCCTGAGGGCAGAGAAGGGCTTTACCTGGGGCTGCCACTATGAGATGAAGGTCCCTGCATCTTCAGGGGAGGCTCTGGAGGCCATGGACCATGAGCAGGCTGCTGTGGGAGACAAAGGCTTGGCCTTGGTTTGGAGGCAGGTCATGGGTGGCTTTCCAAGCAGCCTGGGTGGTCCTGTCATCTGCTATGGGTTGGGCCCAGCTTTTAACTCTAACCTGGGCCTCAGGGAGAGGCCCTAGGTGACCTCCACATGGAACATCTGGCCCTGAATCCCTGGCTGACCTTGAGGTGTGGCTGAGTTGCTGTAGAGACATAACTCTGAGCTGAGAGCTGGGG